AGGCCGTATTTCTACACTTACGCAAATAGTCAGACGGATCTTTGAAAAGTGCTTTCTTAATCTGAATACGAGCCACCCCGACTCTGCTACCCATGCTACCCAAGCTGGCTTCAAATCACGGTACTCCTGTCATATTCAAGCACTTGTCGCCATGGAATCTGAGACACAGTCAGAAGAGGAGTGGAATGACGTCTGTCTGAACATAACCAAGGCATACGACAAGGTCGCTCGCCCACGCCTATGGGTACTTCTGCGTCACGCTGGAATGCCCGAAAACTGAATCAACTGCCTCCGCGCGCTGTTTGGGAGGGTCCCTACCCGAGTGGCATACCGCTGCACGCTCTCGTCTTCATTCCATAGAACGAATGGCATTCTACAAGGCTCAATCGTCGGCCCCCAGCTCTTTATTATCTACATGGATTCCTTAGCTGTCATGCTATCACAATTTCGGCCCAAGCTCCTCCGCTCTTATTTATTTGTCGATGACACTCGGATCCAAGCCCCTCGATCGGTTTCGCTCCAGCCTTTCTTAGATGACATTGATGCGTGGGGACGCAAATCTGGCCTCAAACAGGGTGTCATTAAACCCCGAGTAAGATCTCCTGATTTGCGATACGCGGCGCCAACCCTCCGTACAAATGGTGAGCTTATCACGCCGACGCTTACAGACGCACCTTGGAACACACGTTACCTCCCCCTGAAAATGGCGCCCACATATGCCGAACCGAAACACTCCAAATACCTGGGGTTCCCACTCTCTCACGGAGTACTAGGAATCAACCTCGCCAGACATATGGAATCCTTGGTTGCAGCATTGTCACTGGGTATCGCCTCTTTCCGCACATGGCTTCCATGGATTCAGCTAGCGACACCCCCGCAACCAACTGGTGATGTTCGAAACATTCATCCTGTCCAAGGCTACATATGGGCTGAATATTATTGCCTGGGATCCGCCTATATGGAAGGATGCGTTGGACCCCCTGTTCGAGCGCTTTAACTCAGCACTCATCCAAGCAGCAGCCATCATCACGGGCACTAAATACCCTCGGTTTCCCAAATATCAAACAAGCTTACTTCACTTTTGCGGCCTGCTCCCCGTGTGACCATTCGCGGACTACCTCGGAGGATGCCTGGGAATACAACTCGACTCAATGGCCAGCACAAATCCACTCACCCCTCTGACGCAACCCGCCTGGCCCCACGATAAACCCTGAAAACTGTACACAAAACCACAAGCGGGCGTACACCCGACCATGTAGCCCTCCGCCAACGCTGTGACGACATCAGAAAGAACTCAACAAACCGTTGGTCCAACAAGGAGATCGCGGCAATGGCCCGGCGCCAATACTACTACCAACTGGTTATGGGTAAACCGCCAACCTCAAACCGAGACACAGCCAGACACGACAGCTTCAATCGCTGCTTCGAGTCTACACCAATCCGGCTCTGTGCTATGATTGTAACGAATACGTACATGTTCCCATTGCTCGACTACCGCACCGACGGCTGTCTCTGCCTTGTTTGCCCCGGTAGCCACAAGTTCACTACCAGCCACTTTACCTGCATCCAACAACTTATTCGACGCATCCTGGTAGGCCCGGAACTGCCGCCCATTGGCCCTGACCTCCTTCAACAATTACAGGAGTGCCACGACTTCCACGGTATCTGGACCCTCCACGAACACCTTGGATCTTTTCTCCAGCATGTTGAAGAACCACCGTACCTTCACCCGACCCTGACACATCAACAGATGTTCCCCATATCCCGGCTAATCACGCTGTTGAAGTACTACTTCCAAATTTCGGTTCAACCCAAATCATCGCGCTTGTTGGTTCCGCCTATGATACTTCCGATCCAGGCCAGCCAACACATACCGAATTCATCCGTGGTCTGGTGCGGCATTGGCTTACCCCCATCTTCGCTCCTCGACCGGATTATGACGAATAATCTGGTCCTTCTCGGTATTTCGCACTCTGCACTAACCCATTCCGCGGCACTACACGGCGCAGACCCGATCAGTACCACAGAGGTGGGTACTCTACTTAGTAGGTCAGCAAGCGAATATATGGAACATTCGATAGTAACAGTGTTTTGTCAACACCGGCCCGAATTGACTCATCGCATATCTTCCATTGTCGACTCACTTGGCCCAAGTTTCAAACGGGAATTTACTGACCACTTCTTCCCATCAATCTTTCTTGAACCACTGCAGCGACTATGAGAGCCATACCATATGTGCATACATTGTAACATACATACTTGTCATTTTTGAAAAAAATAATATTATCCCTATAATGGGTCATTAGACCCAGGTGGTGATGTGTTTATACATTTTCGACTTGAGTCTTAAGTCGTCACTCTTTTACTTTTGAAGAATAATCAATTTTATGATAGCCATCAATTTGGATCGAATTACACTTCACCACAATGCCTTCAGTGTTCGAGGGTTGCGATACGCGTGTGTACAGTTACTTCTGTTATGTACACATATTGAAAAGCACCCGAAATAGCTGGCAGAACGCAAAAGAAGGAGAACTTGTTTATCTTAATTTACTTGATGTAGATGACAAAGTCCTCGTACCTGGTGGGGTCGCGTCCTCGTACCTGGTGGGGTCGCACGATTCCAAGGTTTGGTCGAGTTGTATCATGAACAGTAGAATAAGGGGCCATATTCCACATGTAAAATGAGCAAAAAGGCCGTTTACATAGACAGCTTAGAAAAGCAGCAAGTCCCAGCTACTCTATCAGGTATTGAGTTGATACTCGACTAACCGTGAACAGAAATATATTTAATCATTGTTTGGTCGTTGAGTATTTGTGTTGTATCAATGTTTATTTCTATTATGCACTTCCAGTATTCGATGAATCAGTTCAAGCGGCACTTGCTCTAAAGAACCCTGCTTGTGTCTTTGGCACACACTCCGAAGACCCCATTGAGAACGGACTCCAACATGTGCAGTTCATTCAAAAAAGACTTGTGGTACTCAAAATTTCCAAGCAATCATGCGAGAGCTCTTCTGGAAGCCGTTGAACAAAACAGCACTGCAAAAAGGAAAAGGAAAGGCGACCCTGTGTCGTATGTATACGAGAAGGTATAATTACTGTGTTTGTTATTAACATTTGTTTTAAAAGATGCTACTATTAATCATGCTTATATAATATATAAACATGTATAATTATACGCTACCTCAGTGGGTTGCTTCGTGGGAAAAGGAATTCAAACAGAGAGCAGAATTAACTAGAGGCGCGACTGGTCTAATGACCAAACATATTACCACCCACTGTAGAGGCTTAACATTGGAGACATTCCTAGCCGCAAGACATGCACGCAATGCAATAAGAAATCAGACTGCATACCAATCAGATATTTTGGACTTCGAGTACTGCCTAGTGAAGCCTGTAACGACCGTACAGTGCTCCATTTCGGTGCAGCGCGTCAAGCGAACGAAGGGGAACCCAATCTCGATGTAACAGATATGCTAGAGCATGAGAGGATGCGCATGGTGAGCAAAGCATATATAACTTCGTCTGATGCTAATGGGGTGCGTGTAAATGTGATCAAGTGCGCTTTATATTGGATGTACATAAGGATGACTATGTGAAGGAGTGCGTAAAGGCCTTGAGTGAACAGATTGATCTGAGTCTGATATCATATCACACACAACCAGTAGAGAGCTTGTCTTTGTTCACATCACCCATACAAATGTATATTGCAGGCTTCAGCGCGCGCAAGGTGATATTTGTAGTTGAAAAAAGCTTCACGGCGTGCATTAATATGTAGTGATTGTTTCAGTAGCATACGAGCAGATAAGGCTATACATGTAGGCGAGGTTGGTAGTACACAACTTGTGGGATATCGAAGAGAACTCATTGAATATATGGAATACGACGATCTGACATGTCCTAGTTCCGCTGTTCACGCGATGGCCGTGGTCTGTGCCAAGTTGGTAGATACGCTAACAACAGATAGAGATATCAACAATCTACTATTTGGAAACATACGCAATGCTAAAGTAAGTGTAAGCACGCCGAGAGAACTGGTAAGGATACGCACACGGAACCAAACAAAGTGTGCATCACTATATATCGCGATAGAGACCGAGATTTATACTTGCCTATACTCTTAACGCTCGCTACTATTGGAGCTAACAATATGATCAAGTATATGAATAGACTACATCTAGCTAAAAGGTCTATGAAGCGGTCAAAGATCACTTGTGCACGTAGAGTAAGAAGCGAACAGATGCAATATTCGGTTGGAGAACATACCTCAACAAACCGGAACTGGCTGGATGTAAGTTTGATGATCGGCGACCAACTTAATCGGGAGCCGAGGAAGCGATTCGATTGCTCGCAACCACTACATGTGCCCAACTTGCGAAACAAACTTGTGCCAGAGTGGGGTCTTGGGACTACGTGGGCCTTCATTTTGGATGCGCATAGTCCACAGATCAACTATCTATTAGATAATAGAGGCATAGACTATGACAAAAAAGCGTCGGTAGCTATACGCCGCGATTTACTTCTAGCTGAGATCTGTTACAAAGGAGATCCCAGATACTTAACGGCCGAGGGTGGTGCCGTAGCTTTCCAAATGGAATACAATGCGATGGAACAGGAGGACGAGTGATACTGAAAAGAGCTTAATCATATATGTTTATGTGTGTGAGAGAGTTGAGCGTACGTACGTTCCACTATAAAATATGTATAATTTCTATTTAGATAAGGATTTGATAACTATATGTGAGGCACGAATAATTAATAATTTTATGTTGAAATAATAGTCACCGAGCCTGTGTCAGAGAGAACTTGCAGTTTGCGAAAATTGCTGTTCGACCAGACATTTCCAGAGGGCTGTGTCTATTTATGATCTCACTCTCAGTTATATATTGATGGTGTTTGTACTAGTGTTTTGGGTTGGCCAGAGTAGAACTCATATGATAAGTATGAGTACTAACCTTTATGCAGAACACTTTAGTACTCTGATATAGAAATAAATATATTATATTCTATGTTACGTACTCTCAGTCTTGAACCTCGGCTCTCGGCTAGTCGGTGGCCCTTGTCATATGAATAGAATAATCCGAGAAGAAGTCTTAAATTACTTTTACGTCCTCTCGGGCTGATTCACTTATACATATGTCAATTTGAGACAAGTCCCAAATTACTCTCGGGCTGACGGCGTAAAAGGTTATTACCGAATTTATAAATACGTCTACTTCTATAGTCTCTCATTCAGTATGTAAGACAGTCTTAGTCAAGGCTGATTTCCATGAACGGCCATCCCCTAGATATATTCGGGCTGACGTGAGAACTATTTTTATTAATCCAGAATATGCATCACAACATAAAGATCCAAGCGTTTCGAATTCGGAGTTACTCTTTGAGTTTGAACCTAAAACATTCTCTGTTACGTACTCTCAGTCTTGAACCTCGGCTCTCGGCTAGTCGGTGGCCCTTGTCATATGAATAGAATAATCTGAGAAGAAGTCTTAAATTACTTTTACGTCCTCTCGGGCTGATCCACTTATACATATGTCAATTTGAGACAAGTCCCAAATTACTCTCGGGCTGACGGCGTAAAAGGTTATTACCGAATTTATAAATACGTCTACTTTTATAGTCTCTCATTCAGTATGTAAGACAGTCTTAGTCAAGGCTGATTTCCATGAACGGCCATCCCGTAGATTTATTCGGCGCTGACGTGAGAACTATTTTTATTAATCCAGAATATGCATCACAACATAAAGATCCAAGCGTTTCGAATTCGAAGTTACTCTTTGAGTTTGAACCTACAGTTTGGCCCTGAATTTGGAATGTGCTTCAAAATTATTTTCCGAGCATATGATAACTTGGACTAAGGAGGAATACAAGATGAATAACTTCGTTCGTCCAAGGGCATCGGACTATGCTCTTGAATTCAAGAATATCTAGTTACCCTCAGACATCGAACCTTTCGATTTGAAAACAAAATACGAAGCATACAACATTTATATTAGCTGTTTTTTTCAGTCAGCTAGGATCAAACATGTCGCACACTGCTGTACGAACTTTCCCAAATTTGCGATGGAGAACGGAGACCGCCAGGACTCGGGAGCTGATTGATGACGACGAGCTCATAGACCTCCTCCATCACCGATATATAGACACAAAATCATCCGGTTTGGGTATGTTTCCTATCTCTTTGCCTAGAATCTAGAAACGAAACTTCGAGATCTGCCTCAGATCACTCTAAAGCTTCTAAAAAAGACCGGCTGTCCACTTTTTTTAGCGATAGACACAAATTCTTTACAGTGTTCGACTGGGACTAGGACTTTCCGAAGTTTCAACATGGGTCATCGAAGCTTATGCCCGATATGATGTGTGAGTATAATATATTGTCGGACGACCATACCATGAATGGTTTTATCGAGAAAGCTCATGTGAACTGCGACCGCTTCTCAAATCCAAAACTCGGAGGCCTCCGATGCAGTGGTCGGCAACATTAGAGGACACAACCTGTTCTCATCATGAACCGAACTCTTTTCATATCTTCAAAAGCTGCTTCGTGTTCAAGCGTAAAAATTAAGACGCCAACTCTAAACAATGCCAGAATCACAAGCAGAAATCTACTCAAAATACGAAGCAGTGCTGTAATTTCAAACGTTTAGGAGCAAGTAGGTGATCACAGTCTACAAACAAACGAGGCCATTTTGGAAATGGCTCTATCACTTGTTTCATATATCTTAAAAAATCATCATCGCCGGGATTGCCCTCAAGATCGCAAAAATATGATAGAACAACTACTCAAGCAAAACAGGTGACAGCTCAAGCGGAAGAACACGAGATTTTTAAATACGCACCAATAGCAGCCATATTCTTCACAAGTGTGAAGTTATTGACTTCATGCTTCAAGGTTACATGACAGCTCATAAGATTTTCAATACTCTAAGGACAGAGGACGATATTGATGTAGAACTCAACGCTCTAGACAATGTAGTCTGTTCTAAAAAAACATTCAAGCCTTCCTTGATAGTCTTTCCGAAGGCGATGATATTTCCATGATCGAAAAATCACCTGAGAATTGATGGTTTTGAGAAAAGACATTGTCTATTTACCATATAACTTCAGTTATTGAAAATTCAATAGAAAATCTGAAATATGACTAGCTTGTTGTTTCGAATAAAAAGTATAATACTCTATTCGATGACGAAGCTCAATTTTTTTTAATTTGTCAACAAGACTGTTTTAGCTACAAAATCTAAAATATTATAACGATAGAACCTTCTCTTACGCGATTGTAACGTATCGGCTCATCAGCGTCTAGATGAAATGTCACACTTAGTGGCAGAATTTGAATTCATAAAAAGTACAATACTCTATTCGATGACGAAGCTCAGATTTTCTTAATTTGTCAAGACTGTACTTGAGCTACAAAATCTAAAGTATTATTACGATAGAACCTTCTCTTATGCGATTGTAAGGTATGAGCCCATCAGCGTCTAGGTAAAATGTATTACTTAGTGGCAGAATTCATGGACATCAATTTGCACTCATATATAGGGCGGTGAACACAATACCGGAACTTCAGTGTGCAGTTTTGTTAGGCGGCAATTTGCTTGACGAACATATTAGAGTTGGCAAAATGTAATTCTTGAATGTATATATACGTCTACAGAGACTACTAAGAACATCTTTGCGTCTTGCTTAATAAGTGCCCTTGTAGGAAAAGTAAATATAAAGCAATGGTGACCGATATTACATGTCGAGCTTTAAAACTGTACAATACACCAGTAGGTATTGTTAAGGGCTTATCTTAAAATCTGATAAACACTACAAGTAACAAAGATACATCTGCGAAAAATAACAGTCTCAGCTATTGTTAAAGTGTAATGTAGTACACTTTAAATTGTAAATGTATATATTATTTATACTGACCTCAACTTTGGTTTTGTGCCTAAGGTATTTGTGCCAGTGTTCAGCCGCTTATACTGGTCCAGGTAAAAACTTATATGTTAATATGAGAAAGCTTCTACAGAACACTGAAAAACTTCGATGCTATTATGTTCCGACTTCTCTGCAACTAACTTTCACGCTGATCACATGATGCCTTTCCTCCTAGGTTGTGACTCACATAGGGACGCAGCTATTTTTAGAATGTTGCGGTTGACAGACTTAATACACTCTCAGGAGTCGGTTAAGTATTAACTCAACTCTCGGGGGGAGTGATTCAAGCAACGCGATTAGCTCTCGGGATTGAGCTAACTCTGATGACTTTCATAAATCAAAGAGGGGTTCGCGCTGTGAAAAATGGTCAGAGACCTGTAGTCTCTCAGAAGTCTCAAATTACTCTATACGTGCCCTCGAGCTGACCCACCTACATAGATTAATTTGAGAACAAGTCTCAAATTTCTCTCGGGCTGACGGTGTAAACGTTATTAACGTATTAAGATATACGTCTACTCCTGTAGTCTCTCAGCTATACCTATGGATCACTTAAATCACAAGGAAATGCATGTACCAAAACTAGATTGACTGATACAGGAACAGAATATACAAATGGAAGAACTGCTAATAAAGAAACACATATTGTCTTTTGATTGCGCATGGAGGAAATACAACTTCCTTGTTGAACCTCCTATCAAATTATAATTGGAACATGATTATCCATCTTACATAAAACACTCTTGAGTAAGATACAGAATGAAGCTTAGTAGACTATAGCTAAAGATATGTTGGCAGGAAAGGCTATAGAAATAAGTGATTTACCTTATAATATCCCATACCTAATTGACCCGAAAAAGGGTGTGAGAGACTACAGATCACAGACCAGACAGCAAGAAAACTCTTTCATTTGTAGAAATCAACAGAGTTATCTCACTCCCGAGAGCTGATCAAGCTTCTACCAGGCAAATGAAGACTTGTCACAGATTTCAGCAGAGTAAAGGAAAGTCTTTAATCTATAAATTGGCCACTGTTCGATATCAATCTTATTTTGACTAATTTGCTGGTTACGCAGTACTTTGTCAGCTTTGGCAAAAAGCAATCTCACTGGAGTGTGTTGGTGGACAAGTGAAAACGCAAACATCTTGCGCTTAGCACAGCGTCGGGCATGACATTTTAATATAGAATATTATCAATGGGTCTGGAACAGAGCGCGGCATTATTCTAAAAAGATAAAATACATTTAATACTTCGGCGTAAAGAAACCTAATTGGTATATCGACGATGGTTCGAGTAGTTCTATAGAAACTTAAAACACACTAGATCAATAGATCATATTTCTATTGCACTACCAAGTAAAAGTGTGCTGTTGAAAGGATATATAAGCGGAAACGTGGGGCTCAAGAATACGATATAACAGGCAATATTGCCACTCGTGAAGGTGTAAAAATTGACCCTAAATGATACCAACAAATAATCGATTGGCCAGAGCCACAAATCGTTAACGACACGCAATCGTTCTTGGGTCTCGCTAAAGACTACATTCATCTTCCAATTCTTTTATATCGATGCATGAAAGGGACAAAATGAAGAAAATATAAAATAACCACACAAGTGTCACTTGGACTAGGGGTATGCGTCAGTGAGGCCTTCAAAAAAAATTGAAATCGGCGGTAAGTACTGGGAATAGACTTTTCTCAAACTAGA